ACGGAATGAGACATTCGACGTTGCTATCTCATTCTATCTCATGGGCTTGCTAGCAATGTTGATTCAGTGAGTGAATTTGCTTGCCACTTGTCTAGAGGCCTATAGGTAAAAATAACCTAGGGCACCTAAGTGCCTACCTATTTAGTCATTAAATATAAAAAATAACATTTGTTGCACACAGCCAATCTCGGAATGTTTTCATCGGTTTACATTAATATAAATTTATAATAATTGTCATTTGAATTTTAAAAATATGAAATGTTAGAATGGAAGTATTAAAATGTATTAGACAGCGGTATTTTTTCCGAAACCTCCAGGTGTATCGCGATTTTTTGCCTTGAACTGTGAATTATTATCATGTTATAGTAATACATCAGAATAAAGCAATGAAGTGCGCATTATGATAATAGATTTTTCAGTTCTAGGAGTCAGATGAATAGTCTACTGCGCAGTAACCTTTTTCAACAGTAGCCGGGCTGCATATTTACAAAAGCATAGTTCACTCGTCGTCCTCTTTGGCCGAGTGCATTGATAATACTACCCTCAGTTGTTAATTCTGAGAAATCGAATTAAAATAAGAAAATAGACAAAATTATACATATGATATATTTATTTAGAATGACTGTAGAAATAGTTATACAAGTTTTGCCAAAAATGTATAACTAGTTATTTGATTATAATTATATTGTTTAATTTTGCTACTTTAGTATCTCTGTGACTGCTAACACTCGAAGATTGACCGCCACTATTGTTATCAGAAGTTCCATAATATTCCATATTAGCCATCAATCTTCTTCTTTTATTTTATTTACGTACGTTTTGCCTCGAATGTTTTCCGTTTATTAATAAAATATAAATTATGCATCTAATATATAAATGTAATAGTGCGCTACCTACCTGTCTTTTCTCAATATTGTCTATACTATCCAAAGATTGTTTAGAAGCGATTGTGTACCGATAATGCAGTCTTTTGTATCAGTTTGTACTCGTATTAAAAATTGCTATGTATATACTTAACTACATAACTAAGTTTGTTTTTTGAGTTTTTGAATATTTCTCAAGAAATTTGGCTATGATATCTACTTACATCTTTATAAATTATAATTATTTCAGATTTTCCGCTTCACAAACTTTGGATATAAGGGAGGAGGGGGTATTCTTTTTACCTATTTGCGATCATGAATCAAAAACAATGCAGTAGTAGTATACACAAAAGTGACCTTTCCTTATGACATCCTATTTGGACTAGTCTAGTTACTTTTGAATTTTTGAGTACTCCTTTTGGAAACCCTAGTATAGAAATTAAAAATAAGTTTAAGTTATTTCCATCGAAATATATGTGGTCTAACAATATTTAAAACTATTTTAAATTTTAAATCGATAGCATTAGTAGTCGTATAGCGCTGTGATATTATATTGTATGTATAGCTATATGTTATCGTTACAAATCACATGTAACCCATCTGAAAATATTACCTACATGTTTTTCTTAGTGCCTGTGTGAATCTGTAGGTTTTCTATATACGCATCCGGATATCGGCGTCGCTGCGTCGCGCAGCTGTCCGATTTGACGTAAACAGTTGAGACGACCTCTAACCCGTCCGTTCATTCTTAGGTTCATTCACAGAATTTTATAAATATATGGCGATATAGGTACATAGTTATCCCATATAATAATCCCATATACAAAATTAGAATTGCAATTTTTTTTTTTATAATTTTACCTATTATTACACGTAACCATTATATTATACCTAATTCAACAAACAAATACCTAATTCATGAATAACATAAAGTTGATTATTGATAAAGGAAGGTAATTTTTTTTAATGGATAATGGAATGGTAATCCCACCTGTGCTATCGGTATACGCTGCCAGGGCACCAGTGAGGTATGATAGATGAGCATAAAAGCAGGTCTGTTAGTCCATCTGGATGAATGCGACAAGTATTAATCACAATGGTTTCGAGGGTGAACCGCGTGGAGGTCAATCTGACAGGGTTAGTTAACAATGGGGCATTAGTACCCATTACATCCTTTTCCCTCCTAAAGTGACTGTTAACCATCAGACGAGTTGTATAGGTATTTTTATGTCTCTTATAGTAAAAAAAATTGCTTAATTTGATTTCAAATTAGCGTCTAGGTAAGAAATAGTCCATATAAACTACCGTTGCAAAAATAAAGAAATAAATGGAATATATGTAAAATGCAACTGTAAAATATTTTTATTTTAAGTAGGTATATAGGTTATGTATTATATTGTTCCGTGAAAAATCAACTTCAATCATGAGTACACCGAAATATGATAAGATCTAAATAGATAAATAAATAATTATATTAATAGATGAGATGTTTCGAAATACCCTACAACGACAAGTTTCGTAGATACCCCACATTGTATATATTTACTGTGTATTTACATTTTGCTTCGTAACAAGCAAGTTTTTGCTACTTACAGAAATATTCTAGCTTCAATCGACACGAAATTAAAATAGATTCACAGGCCAAGAAAGTAAACATTATTGATTGCAAAAAAAAACTATAAAAATCGATTTAGAATGGGCGATGTAAATAAATAGCAAAAAAAAAATCAGATTAATTAAGAACCTCTTTTATTTTAATAATTCCGCGAATATTGTCTTAAAATGTGGAAGCAACTTTTTTTCTCTTAGGGTTTCTGAGACAAACGGTAGATAAAATTTAGTATTGACCTTGTAGTTAGACAATTCTATTCGAATTTCCGTGTAGCAAAGTGGTGTGTGTGATCCTTTACACATCTCTAATAATAAAACAAATAAAGACATGTATTTTTAGAGTCGGCCTTGTACCTGGGTTTTTTTTCATGAACTTTTGAATATTTTCGGATTCTATAAATCGCATAAATTTCATATAGGACACTTTTTGAATAGATAATATGTATATAATATGTAATAAAAATATTTATAGATAATTTAGTAGTAAATACACCGCCTACTTAATTTTCTAGACTCATGATTGACTGGTAGAGAACGCCATTAGGTGTTAAGCCCGCCATATGTACACTTACTTATATAATTGTGCATTGAAGTTTAAATGAATAAATAAAATAATATAAATAACAATGAAATATAATAGTCCCACCGGCGAATACAGTATACACTGAGTACTGGGTAGTAATGACAACTGGATCTATTAGTTACAGTGCTAGCCCCAGATGGACACTAACAAAAAAACCCGGGGGGAAAGAGATCGTTAGAAATGGTTTGGAACGGCCCCATTGCTAGCAATTCACCCTATCAGGTCAGGGGGAAAAGGCATTGTTAGCAATGGAGTTTGACAGCCCCATTGCTAGCAATATGTCCTATTAGGTCGACCTCCACGTGGTTCCCCCTGGAAACCATCGTGAACAATTATTTTTGAACTTGACCTGCTTCATCCTCACCTATCATCCTTCACTGTTGCCCCGCCGGTGTATACCGATAGCGCGGGTGGGGTTACCATTCCATTATCACACATTAAAAAAACCCTATTAGGTCGACCTCCACGCGGTTTCCCCTGGAAACCATCGTGGTTAATTCTTGTCGAATTTTTCACGGTGGGCCGATTGACCTGTTTCCATCCTCATCTATCACTGGTGCCAGCGGGGTTACCATTGCATTTTCCCCATTAAAAACAAAACAAATAACTCCATATATCCCATGCAGAATACTGGGTAGGTACAAGTAACAAACTTTAAAATATTCTCAAGTCGTCAAAATTTATTGTGCGTATATTATGCGATATCTTTAAAGGCTGAATGTAAAGTTATCCCCTTATTCATAAAAACGTCAAATCTCTCATAAACCTATTTTAGCTATTGAATTGTTTTGTTTCTTTCTTTTACACTAAATTCCCAATTTAAAAGAAAGCAACATAGCAGTGTAATAGATTTGTAGGTTTTCGTTTTTATGAATAAGGAGATTAGTGTTTTATAAAGAAAAGTAGTAAATAAGTACGTCGGCAGACAATATATGCATAAATTAGCAATTAGCAAATACTGCCGGATCACTTTGATTCGACATCTATTAGGTGATCATTAATTGTCAAAAAAGTTGTAGGAACTAGGAAACAATGTCGGTTGCTAAGTATAACATTAGCCTATCTAGGTTAGATGCACTTTTCAATACTGCGCTACTAGCCATCTTGTAGCAATAAAGAGAATTAATTGATAATAGTATTTAAGTAGTTCTTAAATCGCTCTATAGAGGCACGCGAAGCACCTACACAAATGTCAATATTACAGTTCACTCCACCACGGCAATGGTGAATTAATCCGAGCCATAAAATATAGAAGTAACATAGACCGTAGAATAGATAAAGCGGCGATATATTAAAGATTAGGCAACTACATATGACGCGTACATTTTCCTTGAACTTAAGGTAAAAATTTTCAAGACCATAATACGATCTGCTGTCTTCTACGGATTTGAGTGCTACCCTATAAAAGTGATAAAAGACGACTGCATACAACTTAGATTCGATTATAGAGATAGATGTATAATGTGACATGAACGGATAGTAGATAGTGCAGGGAAAAAGACAATGTGGTAAGAAACGTATTATACATGAATGTGGATAATGATTATATTTACAGGGGAAGATTCAGAAAGTGATAGATGGATTGTGTGAAAGATGATATGGCTATAAAACAAATAACTAGAGAGATGACTACAAATGGAGATGAATGGAAGAAGAAAACATACTGACCTCCAAACAGATATGGGATAAGAGCAAAAAGAAAAAATCGCTCTGTAAAATTAATTAATAATTAGTAAAATTATTCGAATATGGAAATTAGTAAATTACTTATTTTGTATTAAATTATAAAATTAGTAATTCCTAATTATTAAAATAACAAAATCATTCGGATTTACGTATCACTACATGTACAATTCAGTTGTAATTTCGTAACACAGATTAAACATACTTCTACGCTACGTAATACTTATAAGTAAACTTGGTACTGTCATTGTCAACATCAAATTAGAACTATTTTTCAATTGATTTAGATTTTCCAAATGATTAATGTGAAGTAGAATTGAATTGACTCTCAACTCACTTCAGAATATTATTATTTCCCAACCTTTATTAATTTTTTTTAGTGTTTAACCTCGTTTTCATTTAAATAAAATAATAGTAATAAAGTAAATAGTAAAATATGAATAGTATTGGAGAAGAATGTACAGAACTTAAGAAGAAATACGACGACTGTTTCAACACATGGTTTTCTGAGCGATTTTTAAAAGGCGACCACGATGATTCAATGTGCGCCGGTATCTTTAAAGTTTATCAGGAATGTGTTAAGGTAAGGCTAAATCGATATTATATTAGATATATCGTATCAACGTTATATATAATACAAAATAATAACCGTCTATCAACGCTCAGCTGAACCTTACCTAGCCTTCAATTAGATTGTTTTACATTGTCCCTTACATAACTTCCCGATGTTACCACGGGAATTAGAAATTCTGAATTCGGCATGGCTGAAATGACCTAATATTATTATATGTTTAAATACTTAATTCCATCTTTATTAAATTTTATAATTTTCTTACATGACACAAATAGATATAATTGGTATCTGTACTGCACTTTTTGTAGTGTTTTCTTTCTGAAAAGGCATTTTACTTAGCACTTAACCTAATATTTTAGTTGTTTTGTAAAATTTATATATTTATATAATTTATTTATTTATTTACTGTTTAATCGACCATTATAAATTAAATTTATAATAAAATTTAGTTAATATTAGACCTTAGTATACAGATTGTTGTGATACAAAATTGATGTTTAAAATTTTAGAGATACATTTACAGAAATATTGTCTTAAAATTGACCCCAGATGTAATATCTATGCACTAAAATTCCAAATAAAATCTAATTTTTTTTTCATGTCTATGGCATCTTAATCAAGTTAGATTCTTTTTTTTTTATTTTAGTAATAACTTATTGTATTTCAATTACAGAATGCTATGAAGCAACAGAATATAGATTTTAAAGAGGTTGATAAGGATATATTAGGTACAGAGAATGAATTCAAAGCACCACCAGATGGCACAAGTTGACACCAATTTAATGTAATGTGTGCTTTCAATCCAGTTACATGTTGGAACATTTTCTATGGAAACTTCAAATGCCAGGAGCGTGACAAATTAAAGTACAAAGAAGAAAATAAAGTAAACAGTTTATATAATGAAACAGACATTTAAGTTTATTTCTGTGTATATTTTAATTTATAATAAGGATAAAGTAATACAATTTTAAGCAAATATGCTTACTTACATATATGGATCTCTATTTAATATTTTTAAAATGTCAATTTGAAATTATTTGCATTTATTTTATATGACAATAAAATGTATTTTACATTTCTTATTCTACAAGCATGCATTACTCGGTAAAAGTAGATGAAATATAGCTTAATAATTATTATAATAAAATATAGCTGTGCAATGTTCTATTTGTGTTTCCGTTAAGTTGAAAATTACCTGTAAAATGAGTCTTAAGCTATCCCAACTTATTCTACACAAATCTTACTATTATGAGACCCCTACCAAAATTCAAGGCTTTGAAAAGATATTCCGGTGTTTGTTAATCCTATTTGTGTGTTCAAATGAATTAACGTTTGGTATATATTTATTATCCAACTTAATACGTAGGATATTTACAAGGACAAAGCAGTGGAAAATAGCTAATAAATAATAAAGAAAACATTGTAATTTATTAAAATAGGTTTATTCATTTATTATTTTGTAATAAATAATTATATTTAATTAGTGCAAATTTATCTCTGGCTAGTATCTCTTGGTCTGTATACATAGCCTCTGCTTTTCATTTCTCTGATCACACCTGCAGGTAATCTGCCTGAGACGGATATTGCATACACTCCTTTACAAAACCGGTCTGAAAGTTAATTTTAAAATTATAGTAAAAAGCTATAAACTTATTTAATACTAGCTGCATGATATCTTATGAAACTCGCCAAGAAGGGACTAGGTCATATTTAAAAAAAAATTAATTAATAGATATTCCATTAGGCCTTTCTGCATCTTTCTTTTTCTAAATATGGAGAGCAGAATTTATAAAATCATTACGTTATCCAGAAACATATTTCCAGTGAGTATGTAAACCTATAGCTGTGCTTCATTCATTTTTATAGATCAGTTATTAATAAATTTGGGGAAAATACCTTAATATAGTATTAGTAGTAATTTAAATTAGTATAATTTTAAATGTTTTAATGAACTGAGTTTAGTTACATTTCTATAAAAGATATTAAATCTGACTTTACATATTGCATTCATTATAGGTCATTATAATACTTACTTATACGTTGCCATTTGCAAACCCAGCTGTCTTCAGGACTCATGACTGCAATCATCCTAAAAAAAGACAATATAATATTATATACCTAGTCAGTATTTTCTTACTAAGTCCTAAAAGAATTATCAATTAGAAAGTAAATCTCTCTTTGTATAACAACTTTGTTACATTTAGATAACTAATAAATCAACTAGAATAAAATTGGAAGATGTAGCATAAAGATTATGGGTACAGTTTATATTATGTCAAATAGAAAAATATTTATCAGGTCCAGTAACAAATATTTATATAATGAACGATTATTAAAAAAAAAAAAGGTGTTAATAACACTGAAGAAATCTTTGTGTAAATTAATGTCTAATAATAATTTTAATGAAAGTTGCCTAACAATCACACCCTAGAAGCTAGGAAACAATATAAAACCATTTGTTTTAAAATTTTATACTACTTTGTAGATATCAAAATTGAAATGTTTACTTTCACATTCATTAAGTCTGTAGTAAGTGTCATAAAAATAAAAAAAGACAAAAGTACTCCAATTTTTACATGAAACAATGCCTTGCCTGAGGTAGTAACTGATAGTGAAACCTATTTGTTTGAGGGAAGTTTCCGCTACCAAGCTACGAAATGCTGGAATAATATACCACCCCCAATAAGATTGTCTAATAGTAAACACATTTAAAAAAAAAAACTTAAAATCTTTTTAATTAATAAACAAAAAATTGGAATACCCAATAGGTACATAGCCAAAATATTTATTGCCTGAATATCTGAATGTGACAGAAAGTGATCTCTGACTACCCCTCATCTAATGGTTTCTGTTATTTATGTATTTATGTAGAATATAATATCAAGTGGAGGCAAATATAATGGACACATACAATGCAGTTTATTTATATATATATTTTTTTATATTGTAAATTTTTAATGAAAAGTTTCGCGACTGACTCTTGGCCACAGCAGAATATCAGTGTTTTGCTCTTTTAAGGGCAAAGCAATAAACTGAGCTGTGACCATTTTGTGTTACTATGGCACACGCATGAAGGAATGTTAACAAAGGAGATTGTTAGATTATATATTTTGTTTTTATATATATATATTTTTTTTATTTGTGCTTTTTTTATTTTTATTCTTTTGTCTCTTTTGCTGTGTATTACGTGTATGTTTTTTTTTTATTGTAATTTGTGTGCTGTAAGTAATGTAAATAAATTGTCTATCTATCTATCTATTTACTAAATAGGTAAGTCTTGCATGGATAAATAAGATTTTGTATTTAAAACATTCTGCAGTGAAACTTCTAATTGTCTCTAGATAATGATAAAGCTATTACTCACCCATCAAAATTATTGCTTGTGCAGTCATAAACATTATCCTTATTATTCTTCATGCGCAAGAAATCATCACAATTATCACATCCTTCATATTCAAATTGGTCAAATGTCTGAAATCAATGAAATTGCTATATTAGGAACTAATATATTAATAGTGACACATATTATCAAATATACATATGGAAATAAAGTTCTTTATGCACTGAAAGAAACATTTATTAATTAAAGGAAACACCAACAGCAAATAGGTGTCAGGATTTTTATTTACTGATATGAAACAAATTCAAAAAAAGTTGATTTTGCTCAGCAAATTAAAAAACATTATTGTTTTGCCAAAAACTTTATAGCCAATCACAGATGTTGTAATAATTCTATCATATTCAATACTTCCAATACTTATAAACTTTTTCAGGCGTTTAGAATTAATAGTGGAAAAAACATAATCTGACAGAATATTTGTATGTTTCCACAAAAGTATACAATGGAATACATATAAAAAAAATATTAACATGCAATTTAAAATTAGTAGTATTCTCTCAAGGTAATTAGCATTTTTTAATTTACTACTATTTCATTATATACTCTATACTCGTAAATCTAGGCTTTATATAAATAAAATCATAACACTTCTCATTACAATTTATTATATTATTTTTTATATATTAGGAATAAATGTCTGTTTTTAAATACCAACTAAATCTAATTTTCTTGTTTAAATTCATGTTCAAAAAAGCAAAGTAAAGGATAGTCAAACATAATTATTTTTGTCCACTTATTAGCACACTTAGTTTTCTAAAATAACACAACTAAAAATATTTGTATTATCTATATTCATAAAAGTAATAGACTCTTTCATGTTCATAAGTAAACACAATCTGTTTTTGAGAATACTCTCAGGGTTTCTTAAACTTATTGCTCCACAATTGGCTTAGGCTTTCTATACCACAGTGAACCCCTTAAAAATATATAGTTAGAACAAATAAGGTATTTTATTAAAAATTTGTTACAAAGTAGTGTTTCTATTATTTTAGCTGTTAACTGTCCACTTCTGAACATAAGTCTTCTACATAAGTGGTGTTTTGGCAGAAGTTGCCACGCTAGGCAAGCAAGTTGACAACCGCAGTTAGGCCTTTAGAGATGTTTTAAGAGGAACTCTGCTGTCCATCTCTTGCCTTCCCTTAGTCGCCTCTTCAGACACCCATGGGAAAGGAAGGGGTGGCCCGTTCTATGCTGGGGCACACACAGTGCAGTAGAAATAGAAAAAGGTAGTATAAAAGAGCAATAGATTATTTTAATTTTTTATTGTACACACCAGTTATAAGATGTTAGTGACTAATACTAAATTTTAGCCAATTGAGTTTGATGTGTGTTTGTTTTTTAAAACACAATGATATTATTGGAGAAACTACTCAATTTCAATCTTAATTCGGATTTATTTGATACCTGTATTCCACACTGTCACGCCCTGCAGTTTATTTTGATTGTTTATTTGTATATATAACATCATGCTTGTTACAATTATTATTTACCCAGTGGAATCATATACAGCTTAAAATTCGTATAAATTGAGAAAATCCTTCGTTACAAAGTTGCTTAATAATGACAAAAGAATAACAATGTTAAGAAGTAATTGAAAAAACTTCCTATAGTTATATCCATAATGAAAAGAAAACATGAAATGGAATTCACTGAATATAAAACAAAATTATTAACCAGTTCATACCTTTATTAAGGAACACACTAAACAGGCACGTAGACCTCTTAAATCTTTTGGCACTGTATCCAATGACATTTTTACAATTACTACGACTGATAAAATTTATTTTTTGATAATATACAAATAGAGTATTTCAATAATTGAAATATTTACAAACAAATCAATGTTTTTCTTAATTCTCTATTCTACTGTTAAAACTGATATAACATATTAAAAATTTATATGTCACCGTGGTACCGGCGAAAAAGTCATAAATACAGACTAGATAGATCTATCAATGCAAACTGTCAAAACTACAGATTAAAGAGACTATGTATAAAAAAAAAACTGCTAATATTATCTTTAATCTATGTTATAAACTTAAGAACAAGGAATTACATAGAAGAAATGATAAAATAAAAACTGTAAATCATATGGTTGCCTCCCTTCTTCTTATGCAAATCTATTCACTATCAGTTACTTTTTTGTCAATTCATAGCAGGCTAGTATATAGAAAATTTTATACCTCAGTATAAGCCTATTAAATTCAGACACAACTTGCTTGTATACTTTCTACATAAACTTTGTTGAATATATAATTTATAAATAATATAACAATAATAAATTACAACAGCGAAAAACAAGCTTCGGTTAAAATATAAAAAATGTAAAAACAACTCTTGAATATTTTGTACTTTCGCACTATTACTTTCAAAGCGCGTTTTCATGTGAAATATATTTGGCATTTTATAATTACTGCTTTAAGAGATGAAATTATTTACTTCATTAAAAGACATTAATATCATTTAATGAAATGTAACATTTAAATCTAAATAGAAAATTGGGCAGCACGGTGATTGACCTTAACCTGATACCTATGGACCAAACCTAAAAAAATAGTTTTGTCACATTATACTTCAAATACATATACACCAGATCATTCATTCATTCATTTTGTTGTTTACTGCATTATATTTTATTAATTTTTATTTGTATACAGACAAAAAAAATATTCGTAGTAATTTAAATCTTCATTTTGTTTATGAAAAATTTATCGGCTTGCTTGTTATGCTATTCATGTAGATAACCACTCACGTAGGTAGTTGTTTATTGGCGCTTCAGTAATTTAGTTGTTTTTATTTCAATTGAATGAAAAGATAGAGATTACAAAACAAATCTATTAGAGATGTAAACGCAAGCGTACCGATTACTAGTCAATCTTAATTATCTTCAATTTTAATAGTACAAACTTGTTGAATTCAAATATTCGGAAAAAAAAACAATATTGAACAAAATGTTGTCACAAAAAAGCAGTGAATCCGTTAATGCAAAGAAGAGATTTCTCAAGAATGAGCACATTTTAACAGTTCTCTTATGTGCAGTATCGATACCACTGTCCATGTCGATGTGGATTGTTAATTTGATATATTCTAAATTTATTATTAGAAATGAAGGATTTGATGGTGAAAATTCTTTAGTATGTTTGGATCTTTTTTTAATTTGATTCCTTTGTTTCTAAATGTATTTTTATTTCAGAACCGGTAGTTATATCACCTGCACGCTGGTTGTCGTCTTGTTTTATTCCTCTCGTTATAACTTTTGTTGGATATAGAAAGAAAAGTCTCAGTATAAGCGGAGCACTACTTGGATTTGGTGTGGGTTTCATCCTCACATTGAGTAATTACTGCTTTCTTGCAGTTCTGTTTACATTTTTTATTTCATCATCAAAAGCAACAAAAGTTAGACCACATTTAAAGCACAAATTTGACCCTGAATATAAAGAAGGTAAGATAAAATTCTTTGGAATATATTTATTACCAGACTTCTAAGTATTCTTTGTTTCAAATTCTATTAAAAAGACTACTACTTGCCATAAAATGTTGTACATTTTATGTTTTAGGTGGTCAAAGAAATTGGATTCAAGTATTGTGTAATGGTGGTATGGCAACTCAGCTTGCTTTACTGTATTTATTGGATGTGGGAGCATGTGAAAGACCCATTGACTTTATTAGAGATTATAGAGCTTCATGGCTCTGTATGGGTGTTCTTGGTAAGTGGGCAATTTTAAATTTAATGACACTGCTTCATTTTTCAATATATGCCTTTTTGATTTTTTTTTTAATTTATAAAACTTAAAACATGTCTATTAAATGTCTAGTTACATACAACAAACTCTGCTTAGTGTGGGTCAAGGTGGTATTATATGGTATTTTATATCAAATAAAATAGCCTATACTTTTATTATGTAAATTATTAAATACCAATTGATAATAATTTTATTTCAGGTGTATTTTCAAGTTGTAATGGCGACACATGGGCATCTGAATTGGGGACTGTTATTTCCAGCAGTGAACCGTACTTAATTACATCATTGAAAAGGGTGCCAAAGGGAACAAATGGAGGAATAAGCTTAATTGGAACATTTTTTAGTGGACTGGGTGGATTTATAATAGGCTTATCTTATTACTTAGCTGTATTGTATTTTGCAGATAGATCTGTTTTACCATATGCACCTTCTCAATGGCCATTAATTGTTTATGGCACATTAGGAGGACTGATTGGTAGCTTCATAGATTCCTTGATGGGAGCAACATTACAGTACTCTGGTAAATATTTAAATTTATGTACCTATAATGATTTATTTATGAACTATCTTAGTGTTAATTTTAGAAATTTTAGTAACATTGCTTAGCAGACTATAATATTTAATTTTTAATTATTGTTGCAAGATTATAATTTGATTATATTAAATTTTACACTAATTAACTATTATAGTTTTATATTTATTATAGACATTTTATTCTTATTCTCTTTTTTTTTTGTACAATTCACAATTGAAATCATAGTGGATTTTAAATTGTATTTTTGTGTCAGTTTTCTGTTTTGCTTTACTAAAAATGTATAATACCTTTAAATTAATAATTTATTGTATAATTATTTCAAACTTTTAGCTAAAATTTTCTTATACTATATATATAAAGAAATAGATTATAAGAATGATTGGATACAAGTGTCTATTTGTTATCAATTAAATATTTTGTTGCAGGCTTGGATAAAGACGGAAAAATAGTGTCACATTCTAGTATCTCAGTAAAACACATCAGTGGAAAGAACATTCTGGATAATCATAGTGTTAATCTTATAACAACTGTCATAATGGGTTTACTTATGCCTACAATCAGTAAAAACTTATGGCCTATGTATTAGTTGATGTTAAAATTGCATTTATTATTTATCAAAATTCTTACAAGTCTGATTTTTACTATAATTTTCACTGACAGTCGAATTGATTACTCACTATAAATAGTTTTCTTTATTGACATCAATTCTTCTATGGAATTATAGTTGACTGAAAAAAAAATTGTTGCATGTATTTTTTTTATATTGTTTCATTATTGTTATTTCATGTCAAATGTATGGACAGGAAATATAGGGAAGAGAAAGTGGGGGTGCACACTCTATAACTATGGGTTGTATTGTAGATGTATAGCTATGTATAGAATTTCTCAACAGAGCTTTGACAAAATAATAAAAAAATAATATTTTTTCATAAATTCTTAAGTTTTTATTTAAGTTTATGATATCCAACATTTTAAACATAATTAGATTTATTAACACCTATAAACTAGCAATGTATAGTTTTACCTGAGGACATGTATGAGGTAATACAAAGTGTAAGATACAAGAGGGTGCAACCCGCTGCCCCCCTTCCTACTTGTCTACCATATTATAATTAGAATTTAATTAGTGCAAGTTCTTGCACTGATAAAATTCTAATTATAATAATTCTATTTATTATATTATAATCTTTTATATACTGAAAAATGTAACTATTCACTTGGCATGCATGCATATTTAATTAATGACTTAGGTATTCCCCTAAATTTTCTTCAGTATATGATTTTTTATTAATTACTTATAAGTAAATTCATTTACCTTTATATTTCTTTCTTAAGTATAAAAGAAAGCATTTTATTTTTATAAATAAATATGTGAAGTTGTTATGATAGTTATTATTGAATTAATATGTGATATATTTTATATTATTTTTGTATTGCTTTTTTCTGTTGTACCATATAGTTGTAAAAACAACAACAAAAACCGTTTCTTCTTTCTACTATATAAAATTTTCCCAACTTAACAATAATTGTGAAAAATTAAAAACTATTAAAGCGCGTATTAAGTACCTATGATTATGTAATTATTACATAATCATAGGTACTTCATTTATATATAAACATGGTATGAATTATATTTATAAATCCTCATTTCATTAACTTGGATAGGACAGTAGTTCAAATGATAAGAACATTGACATATTTATTACCTATTAACTCATGATTACTCACTGTGAAACGGAACTAGAACGAGATAATAATAAGCATGTATAGCAATAGGAAACAACTTATAGTTTCTTACGTAGGTACCTAGTGAATTTTATTTACTTTCTAGAAGGGAACATGCTAGCTAAATTTCATACTACTATTATAAGAGTATTAACGAGCGGTCTACGGTAATAAAAACACTTGTTGTATTATAACAATAAATAATCTGGCGAACCTAAGGAATTTCTATTGAAGGGTTCTATATAAAAATGGTACGAAGGAATCTATAATGATGTAACTACAAAATCATCAGTGTAATTTTATTCGTTTATGACGAATACGGTGTTACAAATAAAATATATAGATAACTGCGATAAACTAATTAAAGTAATGATATAATCTTAGCGTAGTGACTGCTTCCTTTGTGGTACCTACCTAGATGAAAACTGCAGAAGTGGTGGCTAAAATTACACATGAAAATAAAAAAATCGGTAAAGTATAAAGTAAACTTACACGCCGAGGGTTTAAAAACATACAAAGTTGCACCATAAGTTTCTTTTTACCTTTTTAATAGAAACTAACTCGATTACGGGAAAGTTCTAAAATTCGATTAGAATTATAACCGCTTCACCGATTTTGATGGTTTTATAGGGATTCTGTAATTGTTTGCTCCGACTTGATAGATAAGTACGATAGTTATTATCATGATAAAAAAATGGTTCCAGTAAGTATTGTTTAGAGCGAATTATGTATAAATATTCTGTGTATACAATAATATAGTTTCTTTATTTTTCATGATAATATCAAACTATAATTACCATATCTGTGGTAATACCAAAATCTTTGACGTTCCTTTTATTCCTTCTCGTTTCTTGTTTGTTAGTGGCATAATGGTCAATAAACAGGCATATGGGCAACATTAGCCCTTTGGCAAAATTTAAAAAATATAATATAGGAAATTGGTAGTAACACTCACCAGTATTAAGCAACGCCGGGATCAGGATCAATGTTAAGGAAAACCAGGACTAGGATTTTGGTTACCTACACTAGTTAATATTAGTCAGTTAGAAAAGTTCAGTCAATGTTCATAGTATATAAGACAAAAGGGTAATCTGTCATATTTATTCAAATATTATTTTTCTTTATTTTACATTGACAAGCGCTGCTAGAATGCATATCGCCTGCCATTGAACCAAGGAGGTTCTTAACATCTTCTCTCGATGTGTAATCCTAGCAGCTTACTAATCTTCTCTAACCTTGGCTTTGGTAAAGCTTTGGTAAAAATATCCGCAAGCTGCCACTCACTGCTAATTTTCTGAACCATGAGATCACCTTTTGTCACAAGTTCTCGAACAAAGAAGTGCCTGATGAGAATATGTTTTGTTCTCTTGTGAAACTCAGGATTTTCCGCTAGTCTCACCGCGGCTTCATTGTCCACTTGTAATACAGGAGGATACTGTATTTCAGTAAGTTCGCTTAGTATCCTAGTTAGCCAAATGCATTCTCGAGCTGCTTCACTGGCCGCAACTATTTCTGCTTCAGTGGTTGAAATTGCAACACTTGCTTGTCTTTGACTCATCCAAGATACAGCACCACCAGCAAACATGCACATACTCCAGAAGTTGACCTTCCAGTACCAACGTCTCCTCCATGGTCAGCATCACTATAACACTCTATGATGCCCTTTTTATAGTCCTTTTGATACAAAATACCCATATCTTGCGTATGTTGTAAATAACGCAGAATCCGTTTCAGCTTTACACAATCGTCTTCAGTTGGATTTTCCAAATTTCTTGAGACGACACTAACAGCAAATGCAATGTCAGGTCTCGTTCCAACCATGAGATATGCTAAGGCTCCAACAATATGTCTATAATTCAACAACATATTACTCATGTCGACCTTATCCCGGTTTTGAGACATGTCTCTAACAATTGGTGTATGCACCGGTCTGCAGCTGTCCATCCCAAACCGTCGAAGAACTTTGTTCACATAACACTTCTGATGAATTTTTATGCCGTCTTCTCTGGTTATTATCTCTATACCGAGAAAGTAGGATACAGACTTCGTTGTGATTTTAAATTTTCCCATTAAATCTTTTAGGAAATTTTCGATCAGTTTCTGATTAGACGCAGCTACCAAACCATCATCCACATAAAGAGCCACAATGAGCTTCTCGCTAGACTCCTTTCTTGTGAAAAGGCATGGATCAGCATCAGATACTTTCAAACCGATTTCCTTGAAAAAATCTAATATACGCTTGTTCCAGCACCGAGGTGCCTGCTTCAAACCATAAAGACTTTTCTTCAGTAAACAAACTTTACCGGAGTTATCTTCATAACCTTCCGGCTGTCGCATGTAGATTTCTTCATCAAGATCGCCATACAGAAATGCAGTGGATACATCAAATTGCGCCATATGCATCTGTTCACTAGCGGCAACAGCTAATACACTTCTAATGGTCGCCATTCTTGCTACAGGACTGAATGTTTGATAATAGTCCACGCCTTTCTTCTGACTATATCCCTTAATAACAAGCCTAGCCTTGTATTTGTCGACATTCCCGTCAGCATTTAATTTGACTTTGAAAACCCACTTGCAGGGTATGACTTTCCGACCTTTCGGGAGATCTACCAACACCCAAGTTTTATTTTCCTTCAGAGAATTAATTTCCTTATCCATTGCCTTTCTCCAAAGTTTACTTTCAGCACTTCTCACAGCTTCCTTGTAGCTATTAGGTTCCAGTTGATTACCAGTGCTCTCTCCATTTATATTATATAGAACAAAATCATTGAATTTCTGTGGTAGACGAAGCGATGACCTATCTCTAAGAATACGACTACTTTCCTCTATAATCTCATGTTCATCCATAGTTTCGTGAAGCTCGGCTTCGTCATTTCCTTCTAATACTCCCCCACATTCAATAGTTTGTTCTAGCGTATTACTTCTTGCATCATCAAATATATCTTCATTAATAACAGAAGTGTCTTCTCTATCAATAAACTCATCATTGTTTACAAGACCTTCAACTTCATCATTATCAATTACAATATTCTGAGCATCAGAAGATTCTACATGAGGTAATTTTTCATCATTCCTCTGTTGAGTTATCTTTTGTAATGCCAAAGGTTGCAACTCAATTACATTGCTAGGAAATTCTGCTTGCATGGGTTCAGACACCTTCAGTGATTCACCTCTAAGCAGAGACATATCATCAAATGTCACATCTCTTGACCTTACTAAACCAGTAGAACCATTCCAGAGACGATATCCATCATCATTATCATACCCTATTAGAATACATTTCATAGCTTTCTTATGTAATTTTTTCCGAGTCTGTTTAGGCATGTGAGCATAACATGATGACCCAATGATCCTCATGTGTTTAATCCTTGGCTTTATACCAGTCCAAAGTTCTGAGGGTGACTTGTGTTCCACTGACGTTGGCCCTGTCCTGTTTAAAATATATACAGCAGTATTCACCAATTCAGCCCACAAAGTTTCAGGTAACCTTTCATGTGCATGCATCATAGCTCTAGCACATTCCACGATCGTTCTGTTATCTCTTTCACTATTTCCGTTTTGTTCCGGTGTATACGGCATCGTCAGTCTTTGCTTTATTCCATTTTCCACCAATATTTTCCGTACTTGTGCATTGTCGAATTCACCACCATTATCACTCAACAGTTCCTTAACGACATGTCCAGCTACTTTAGCTTCAGCTAGAAACTGTTTCAATTTCTCGTGTACTTCCGACTTATTCCGAAGAAAATACACAAAGCGATGACGTGTATATTCGTCTTTGAAAAGTACAAAATATCGTAATTTGGAATAACTAGATGGAAAGGGCCCACAAACATCCGAATGTATGCGTTCTCCAGGTTTCGTAGCTTTATCTCGTACACCAAACTTTTGTCTGTGAGATTTTCCAAAGATACAACCTTCGCATAATTCTTCACTATCTTTTGTTTTTATTCCCAACTCTCTATCTATCAGACTTCTTATATGTCTTTTATTTTGATGACCAAAACGTTCGTGATAAAGTTGCAATATATCAACTTTCTGTACCAAATTTACTGACATATTAATAGGCGGTCTCTACAATTCAGCTTGTATAATCCTCCATACCTCTCCCTATTTCCTGTCACAGTAATCATTCCTCCTATTTTCATAGTACAAGTAGTGACCCGTGATTCAAACACGCTACCTGGATTCCTATCTTGCGTCGATAATACAGAAAACAGATTTCTACTTATCTGAGGAACATACCAAACATCTCTCAAAGTCGATCTCACAGTATGTCCATTAACATCGGCCTCAATACAAACTGATCCTTTGCCTACTGCCTTGATCACATTTTTGTCCGCCGTAGTTACAGTGTGACCTTCACTGAAATATTCGAAATCTTGAAAGATATCATTCCGCATTGTAACATGATTCGTAGCCCCATTATCCACATTCCAATGGTCACGATCTACAATACTACTTTCAGCCCAATTCACAGTCAGTAACATCATGTTAATTCCCTTACTACTGCAATCTTTTCGAGAAACTACTTTCTTAGGACAGTCTTTCTTAAGGTGACCAACCTCTTTGCAACCAAAGCATTTAAACTTTTTGCTACTGTCCTTGTTATTACTACCTTTGTCTTCACACTTACTAGGTTTCTTCTTGATTCCTTTGACAGCAAAGGCCTCACAACTAGATTCATACATTGTTACCGAGTGCCTTTTCATGCGCACACAGCTGACTTGTGATATTCTCTATATTCCTATCCTTCTTAGACATTAACAGCCAACTTGACTTGAATGAAAAATATGTTTCAGGTAAAGTATCCAAGATTTTACAAATTAATAGAACTTCAGGTAAATCCTTACCTTCCTCTTCTTTCATTAATTCTTGCTTGAGCTTATACCACAGATTTTTCAACTTCGAGATGTGTGAAGCTATGTCATCAGCAGGATTTTTCTTATATCTGAAAAATTCTAAACACAAATCATACAGGCGGTCCTCACATACACCTTCGTATAGGCGATGCAATTCATCCCATATTTCCTTTGCGGTCGTTAACCTTAGAATTTTATCCAGGATATTATCAGAAATATTATTTGTAATTACAAGTACAGCTATACTATCCAACTTAGTGTAGCTTCGTAAGTCCTCTTCGTACTTAGCCATAGCTGCTGAATCCCCAGCACTACTATCTGGCATTTCCGGTTTTTTAATTGATCCATTTATTACATCCGTTAAACCGTCTATTCCCCTTAATAGTGCTGACATGCGATACTTCCAATGTATCCAATTTTCACCTTCTAGTTTATTAATTAGAAATTTCGACAAATCCATTTTGAAGTTTGGTATTAGCCCATAACCTAATATAGGAAATTGGTAGTAACACTCACCAGTATTAAGCAACGCCGGGATCAGGATCAATGTTAAGGAAAACCAGGACTAGGATTTTGGTTACCTACACTAGTTAATATTAGTCAGTTAGAAAAGTTCAGTCAATGTTCATAGTATATAAGACAAAAGGGTAATCTGTCATATTTATTCAAATATTATTTTTCTTTATTTTACATTGACAAGCGCTGCTAGAATGCATATCGCCTGCCATTGAACCAAGGAGGTTCTTAACAAAATACAGGTATCAAATTGTTTTCACATATTATATATCTGTGTTTGCTTCAACTTAAGAGAATCATCTAAGGAAAAAGGCATCTATCAGATTCAACGATTACGGAGCAAATGTGTTGCGGAATATTAATAATATTTTAAGTCTATGTAATAATGTTATTTATGCTGTATAACAAAGTACGACATATTAAATCTATGTATAATATAAAATTGATTTATGCTTAATCTATGTTATTTATAATTGTTGTTTTAATTATTAAATATCTCTGTAGATACAGCACTAGAACTTACTTGTTAAGTAAAATCTGTGTATCTTGTCAAAATTAATATTTACAGGAAATATCGTACGACTTCGGTTATTGTGACTGCAATTATTAACCAGTCTTACATAACTTTTACTAGCTTTTAATGTATGAATTTGGTCAGGAAACATTATGCCAATGTTTAGTTAAATGATGAAATCACAATAGCACCAACTTAATAAAAAAATACTGTCAAATATAATACAAATGGCTGCCATATAAACTATTTGTGGAATAGTTTTAGATTTGTATTTCATATTTCTTTCTATTTTTATGTGTTAATAATGACTATATATAATTAATATAGACTATTACGGGATCTACGTAGAAATTAACCAGATATTACGGAAAATGTTGAAAACTTGTGTTCGCTATCAGTAATATTACAAAATTGAGATCTCAATGCAATATTATATAAAATAATAAATATATTTAAAAATGTTGTTCTTTGTTTTATTTTTGCAAAAAAACTGTTCATCGGAACATACAATTTGAAATAAAATTTATATATTTCTTTTATAATTTTTTATATATGTTTCTCATTTCTGTGAGAAATATTTACATTTTATTAATATCAAAAAATTAATTATAGTATCATTATAAACCTATTCATTTCCATTTTGAATATCAGGCTGGCCAACAGAACGAGAAAAGGAGGAGTTTTATGTGTAGATTGAGGAGATATTCCTGACCAAGTTGTTTTACGTGGCTTGTATAAAGTGCGGTCTCTTTTCCCTTAGTTATATACTCTTTGTTATTAACAATAATTTCTTTTTCTTTGTTTGTTTATACCTATTGTGTCTAGCCCTCGTGTTGATTAATTTTTTAAACAAAAAGAAAACCTATACTCTGTTAGAGATCTGATAATGTGATTGTGACTCATTCATTCTAATTTTTAATAACATTAAAACTGTTTTTATTATAGTTTTTAAATTAGAAATTTACACTTCTCTGAAACTAAATCAAGTGATGGTGTTGATCTGAATTTATCATGTCTTTGCCAATAGAAGAGAGTCCTATAATTAATTCGGATATAGAAAATGATGTCACTAGCAGTCATCAGAATCTCGTGGAAAACGAACCTGGTATTATATTTAACTATAATTTTTGTTAACTATTCATAAGCAGATAAAGGTTATTCAAGGCCAATGAAAAAGCAGGCTAACATTAATCCATCTATTTGTTCCACATTTTAAGGAATAATATATTTTTATTATTATAATTAACAAATAAAAGTAGTCTTGTAACAGATACAGAGCAGGTCATAATATATTACAAATAGTACTAGTCTGATTTCTCTATTAAATTTTCGTTGATATAAATCTTCGATTCTATAACATTTGTCTGTAAAATCATTAGTTAATGTATAAACTATACAGTTTTAACTATATTAAAAATACTTTGCTGTCTATGAGTTTATAAAATTGAAATTATAATTACAGTTGAAGAGACAACAGGATGGATCAAATGTCGAACAATACTGGGTATCATGGGATTTCTGGGATTTGCAAATGTGTATGCAATGAGAGTCAATTTATCTGTTGCCATTGTGGCTATGATTAACTCTACAACATCATCATCAAATGACACAGGAGTAGATGTTTGTCCTGTTAGTGAACCCACGAATAACACAATACCTCCAGTAAGTATTAGATGCAGTAGAAAATAATTTTCTTTAAAATCTAGTAAAAATCTAATTCAATATGGATAGGCAGGTAGGGTTATAGTATATTCTTATATTTTATTAGCTGCTTGAGAATGTAACTGTTCTACATTTTGTGAAAGTAGATTGTGAGTGAATTGTGAAAGAAAAATGTAAATTGTCTGATTTTATTTTATTATTCTACTTATTACTTGTTAAAGACACAACACAACACAGTTATGTATAACATTTAGTTTTAGTCTAAAAAATAATGAATCCATCATAATAGGTAAAATAAAAGTAAAGAATACTTAACTTTTCTACTGTGAAGTAGTTGTGTTTGCATGACTTTCAGTTTAAAGGGTGGGATGTGGTAGTGAATTTACAGGGTACAGAGGAATAACACCTGAGTCCTCAGGAATGGCAATGCATGAGGGGTATCATGGGCGAAACAGTATACTCCAATATGTCCATAGTACTGCTAATATCTATAGGCGAAGGTTATATACAGTTTATAAAATAATATAATCCGTTCATTGACCTTTGTAGTGTCACAATAGAACATTTTAAAGGTTGTGTGTTTAACCTCCAAACAATTTTATTTGTGTGGGGATTTAACAACCATTTGTATTTGTGAGCATGACTTTCCATCCCATAGTTTAAACTCTGCTCAGCTAGCTATTATTATTACTAGATAATAGCAAAAAAAAAAAAATTGTTAATTCTATTTCTTTTTTAGAAACCTGGTGATTTTAATTGGTCTGCTGAACAACAAAGTATAATATTAGGTTCATTCTTCTATGGATATGTCTTGACTCAGGTAAATGAATTATTTTTAGTTTATAGTTGACTCAGATATCTTTCAGTTATTATGGTGTGTTCATTTTATGTCAAATATTATTTTTTTAGGTACCAGGTGGCAGGATAGCAGAAATATTTGGTGGGAAGCTTGTTTATGGTGTGGGTGTTTTATTGACAGCATTATTTACAATTTTAAGCCCAATTGCAGCCTATGTGGATTTCAAGTTTTTCATTCTTGTCCGAGTACTGGAAGGACTTGGTGAAGGAGTTACATATCCAGCAATGCATGCTATGCTAGCTCGTTGGATTCCACCTTTAGAGAGATCAAAGTTTGCTGCATATGTATATGCTGGTGAGTATTAATTTAAGTGAGTTGTTATACTGTGTTAGATTAATTTAAGATTAAACAATAAAACAATAATTGGGAGAGTGATGCAAATCAATATATATACTAAGATAATCAGGCATCTCTTGTCTATATGCAATGGTTACTGCTATCTAAAAGATGAAACATTAGTATGCTATTACCCAATTTCCTAATTTTATTGTATTAAAAGTTTTTAGAACAATTTAATGTAAGTTATAAAATTAATTTACCAGAGGGAGACTTTGTATAAAATTAGTTTGCTTGGGCACCTCTGTCCCATTTGTGTTTCTACCATGAAGCATTGTGTTTTTTTAATGAAATGATAACCCTACCTGCACTAATGGTATACACTAACGGGGTACCAGTGAGGAATGATATATATAGATGAAAAGCCAGGGCAGATAGCCCATTGTGTAATTACACCTGGAATTCGGCATGATGGTTTCCAGGGGGGACCATGTGGAGGTCAACCTGACAAGATATATTGCTAGCAATGGGACAGGTAGTCTGTATTATTAACAATTCCTTCCCCCCTGAAGCAGTTGTGTTTGCATAGCTGTGTTTCGGTTTGAAGAGTGGGATATAGCAGTGAAATAATACCTTAGTCCTCAGGAATGGCAATGCATGGGGAGTATCATGGGCGAAACAGTATACTGTTATGTTCATGCCACTGTTCATGTCTATAGGTGACTGTTACCACTCTCCATCAGGTTGACCGTCAGCTTGTTTGCCTTTCTCAGTTGCATAAAAAAAATTAAGTAATTTAAAAATTATAATTTGTCATTTTGTATGTTTTTATAATTTTGTATGTTTTTATTATAATTAATTAATTTATAATATTAACCTTTATGATGTAACTTTAAATTATATAAAAGAGTCTCTTTAATTATTATTAGTATATATTTTAAAATAAAATGTTAATTAATTATCATTTCCAGGTTCTAACATAGGGACTGTGATATCCTTACCAATATCAGGATGGCTTTGTACATTAGACTTTGGTGGGGGTTGGCCACTATGTTTTTATCTTTTTGGGGGTCTTGGTATAGTCTGGTTCATAGCATGGATGCTATTAGTGTATGATACTCCGCGTACTCATCCAAGAATATGTCCCAAAGAGATTGAGTACATTACGTCGACAATTGGCGATCAGGTATGTGCTATTATTATTTAGGAATTGCCTTGATCAAGAATTAAATCCCTCTGTACCATTATTATCTATGGAAATCTAGAAAAAATTTCTTAATTCAAAATATGAATTATTGGTAAACTGTTTAACTATTTAAGTATGATTTAATAACAAGAATCCCAGCATCTTTATAAACCAAACAACTGAGAGACCAGACAATGTATAACAATGATTTAGATACCAATTTAGCAATTTTCCTTTCCTGAACTTGAATCCGGGTCCATATTAATGTGAAGCACTGTGTCCATTACTACGCCATAAAGGTCAACAGCGTATATAATTCGCAACTTATGTATATGTTATTTACATAATTATTGAGAACATATCAAATACAAATAACTTTATTTTGTTTTAAAGTAGTAAAAGAATTGGTACATAATATTTAAATATTATTTACACTATTCACCAGAATCTGGCATTCATTTAATTGTGCTATAAACATATATCTAAATATGAACATACATCTGTAGTTATCAGTCAATTTAGAACACGACTGTGAATCATTGTTAATACACAGATGTTTTGAAATTCTGAATATGCTGTTACATAGTTTAAAGTATGTGAAATGTTTATAATTTTTTTTAATAACTTCATTTGTAAAAGTCTATACCTTTTATAAATATAAGAGTATTTACTGATCATCTAATACAAAGGGATTATACACTTTCTTTATCAGATAAAATGAATTTGTGATTGCAATATTAATATTATTACCGACTCCTGAGAAATAAGTTTTAATAGAAGTAGACAAAAAACGAAAGTGCAAGCAAAAATATTGTTTACATAAGTAGAACTTATTGTTTTGTATTTTATTTTATTAATTTGTATAAGGTAGATTAATGCTATACAATCTTCCTAAATTTCAGAATAATGATTTTAATTTTAATTTTTTTTAGGTTTAGAGAATAACATTTAAGTATCGCTACAATTCTGTATTTAAATTCAAATTTTTAATTTTAGGGCGAAAAATCTACAATGTCAATACCATGGCGTAAATTTTTGACTTGCGTGCCACTGTGGGCTATTTTAATTGCTCAGTGTGGACAATCATGGCTCTTTTACACCCAGCTTACTGAATTGCCTACCTATATGAACAATATACTGCATTTTGACATTATTTCTGTAAGTATTTCCATTTTTTTATTTCTTAGCTTGAAATAACAGCTTTATATTGCTAATACTTTTTATTTTAGTCATCCTAATTTTAAGTAAAGTTAAAGAAAATCTATGATTAGTTATTAATTTAGTGCAGACCGAAATAGTAATTATGTTCTGCAACGTGTTTAATAGTGAAATGTTTAGTTAGCTATAATGAGAACTATTACTTGTATTTAGGAACATAATTATGAAATAATTTTAAATATTTTACTGAAGTAGGTATTATTTTGCAGAAGTCTATATCATTGGTTATTCATTAGAATTATTTTGTTTAATACCGCTACGTGTATGCCACAGGTTTTATACCTTCCAAATTAGCCATCAATCTTCAACTGCCTTTTGGACCACACATGTTTTACGTCACGTGTTTCACCTCTAAACGAGGTATCTTCAGAGAAATTACTAAAAAAAAATAGATAAATTACTATAAAATAGTTGTTTATCTACAGACTATGTCAAAATGTTGCTCATGTTTATTAGGACTTATACAATAGTTCAGTTATCATTTGCTTGGTGCTTTGATATAATATTAAATACGACTATAATATAAACATGTAATCCTTGCAGAATTCCACACTGTCCGCATTACCATATTTGACGTCATGGATCGCAGGTATCTTGATTAGTATATTCGCTGATTGGTTATTAGTGAAGGGATGCATCTCAAGATTAACTAGTCTGAAGCTGTGGAATACTATAGGTGAGTACAGTACTAATTATGTATTTTAAGAATATGGCGATAATACAGAAATGAAAGTTATACATGAATATGTTCTTTAATTTGTTTAACATCGTAATCGTTAGTAGGTTAATCCATTTTGACATGGGATTCGTTATTCTAGAATGTACATATTTTCTAAAATTGAAATTTTGAAATCCATATTCTCAGGACTTATATGAACTAATTTTCTAATAAATTTAAGTCATAATTTTTATAATTTTAGTTTATGTAATAATACAATTAAAATATCTCAAAATCGGTCCCATTGTTACGTTACAAATGACAATTGACGACGAAATCGCAATTAATAAACACTAAATTTATTAAGATCATAATCTACTTATAATTAATATTTTTAGTTTGAACTATTCTAAGTGAGTTCGTAATCAGAACTCATATTTAATGATCCCAATATTACCAGTGATTTTATATGAGGACCAGTCGTCTCAATATGATCAGGAGTGGTCTCAATGTGATAACCAATGGTTTTAATTAGGCCCGGGTAATAATATGGGTACCGATTCCATATCAATATATCGAATTCCTCATGTTATTGATGGCGGAAAAAAAATCATCACCATTTCGATATCGCCCAAAACGGGTGGATATCTATTTTCGAATATGTTAAAAGTTTGTTATCCAATACAATTTTTTGGATAACAGACTTTTAATATATTTGTTATTAGACCAGAATGTACATATTATAACTGAAATATTATTATTAATAAATATAGATATTGCTAAATATTATATACCCACCCCCTAATTTTAACATTTTGCTGACTGGGATATCTGTCGTGGTTGAAATCTTTGGGATTACCTAAAATTGTGATAAAATCCTAAATACAGAGAATAGTATTTCTTTGGTTATGATCGCTTTGTAATTCAAGCGGTCGTGGTTTGTTTTTTTGTTTTGATGGGTGAAAATGGTATGGTAATCCCGTCTGCGCTAACGGGATACGCTGGCGGAGCACCAGTGAAGGGTGATAGATGAGAATGAAAACAGGCAGTTAGCCCATCATGATGAATTCATCAGGAATTAACCCTGATAGTTTCCAGGGGGAATCGCGAAGAGGTCGAACTGGTTGGGTATATTGCTAGCAATAGGATTCTCAGTCTCCATTACTAACAATCCCTTTCCCCCCTACCCATCGTGGTAGGAGCACATACCTTTACGCTAGTGCAATGACGAGTTTACGTCACCGGTCAGCAACGTTTGGATATGGAAAGACGAGTTAACTTGTCACTGGTCAACAAATAATTAGCGCTCGGCATAAAATGACGAGTGTTCTCGATATGATGACGAGTGGCCTCAGTATAATGAGGAGTGGTATTGTTTCAGCGGCGTTCGTTCCCGCCTTTGGTTTGCTCGGCATTGCGTGGGCTGGTTGCGATCGCGTGTGGGTCATGACGTTGCTTAGCGTCACATCAGCTTTCGGTGGTGCTGTATATGCTGGTAAGTTTGTTCTGTCATTTTTGTATCGTTATATATATTCTTGGTTATTGTGTTTTAGACGTTTATGTAAATTATGGTTTTCAGTGTGCGAGTTAGGAAGTATCAATTTTTTTTATGTTTTAATAAGTGGAATTAACAAACAGCCATAGATTATTTATAATAAATTAAGATAATATTTATAGTACATACCTATTCCCTTATTCCTTTCATTCACCAATTTCCTTTACGCATTTCCAAATTTCCCTTCCTTTTTTTCCTCAATCCTTTCCCCAATTCCTTCGGTAGCGGAAATCACCAACAAATGCATTCCCAAAGAGGGTTGACATCAGACAGGTGGCCCGTTGTAAAACTAAAAACCAAACCTTTTTGTAATATGGATAAAATCATATTATGCCGGCCCCAAATGATTGGGATAAGGGCAGGAAGATGATGATACCTATATCCAGAAAAAACCTTAGGATGCTAATGAAAGTATTTCATTTTACAGGAAATCAAATGAACCACATTGACTTGTCACCGCAGTTTGCCGGCACAATGTACGGCATCACAAATGCAGCGAGCAACATTTGTGGCTTTTTAGCACCCTACGTTATAGGACACATTATTAGTGATAAAAAGGTATGAATAGTGTATAAACAATTTCTTTAATATAATTTATAGATAATTTCAAATAATTTTTATACATGTATATATATAATCTGTGTCTACATTTAAGTCAAGCTTCGTTTAGCAGGCCTTGTCTCTGAATGTTTTTTTGTACTTTTGTTTACCGTCTTCCATGTTGTCAAGGTGAATTTAAGTTACTTCCTATTATTTTTAATGTCCTATCTAAACAAAACTGTGCAAATTTTTCATTTAATTCCAAATTGAATGCTTGGTTAGTATTAATAATTGTGTATTGGGTGGTATTATATTTAAATCTCAGATTAACTGAGGGGACATAGGATTTGGATGTTATGTATTTTATGCAACTAGGAATGTCTAACAAGCTGACGACCCACCTGATGGAAAGTGGTAACCGTCGTCTATAGTCATGAATCATAAAATTTACTATGGCACTCATGGTAACTCTTGAGGACTAAGATGTTATGTCTCTATCCTGCAGTTTCATTGTTTGCCATTAATTTAAAAGTATTTACGTTTTTTATGGACCCTCCATGGCGTAATGGTTTGCCTGTTTCGCACAGGTGATGATGGGGTACCGATTTTGATACTCAGTGTGACAAATTTAGAAAATTAATTTATCAAATTTCGTTCAAGTTTAAGCTCTTGGATGAGATGAATCTCAAGATATTCGTTGTTGGGTTTTGCATAATATGGGTGCCATAGATTGGGAAGGTGAGGGAGGATTTGATCATTGCTTATACCATATATATACCATATTGGATGGACCTCTACATCATTTTCCTTATATCTCTTTGTAGTAAATTACCCTCGCTGGGCCACTTGACCCAGCCAGATCAGGACGAAAGGGTGAAATTAGATCAGTCGATCTGATTACATCCTCATCTGTCATCCTTCATTGGCACCATTCCAATTTCATTCTATAAAAAATAAACCCTAGATTGAGAACAACTTTTTGGTAATCGTTTATTATATTTTTCAGCAAACTCTTGGTCAATGGCGTGAGGTGTTTTATATAAGTGCAGCCATCGACCTTGGGGCCAACTTGTTTTACTTATTCTTCGCCAGCACAGAGGAACAGGTATAACATTAAACAATCGTATATAAGTATAAATAAAAAATATATACACAAATAACGATGACTATAAATACCTGCCGTGTGGTCCCGGCATAGAATGGACCACCCCTTCCTTTCCCATGGGTGTCGTAAGAGGCGACTAAGGGAACATAATAGTCGAGGGATGGGCAGCAGCGTCCCTCTGAAACATCATCAAAACCTAACTGCGGTTGCCAATCAACCTACCAAGCGTGGCAACTACTGGCAAAACCTCCCTTATTTGTGTAGCCTATGTTCAGCAGTGGGCAGACGACGGCTGATATGATAATGATAAATAATTGCTGTGTGGACATAGAATGAGCCATCCATTCCTTTCCCATTGGGTGTCATAAGAGGCAACAAAGGAAGCTTATTGGTTTAGGATGGGTAGCAGTGTCTCTCTTAAAACATCATTATTCAAGAAACAGACTGTTAAGCTCAAGGCTTAAAGCAGTACTGCCACAGAATACCTAGAAGGAAAGCTCTTTTGATGTGCTGACAAATGTGTAAGGATTGCCACAAGAGAGTTAAATAAATTAAAAATGTATATATTTTATCATAACGCAATTATAGCCTACTTTTGAATAAATGAATAAAAAACGGTACTTAATGGTTACGGTATCGAAAAAACGGATTCGAATGAATTTTAGTTATATCCCAACTTTATACTCAAGATGTTTTGTATACCAATTCACGCGGGCAAAGCTGCGGAAGGTAGCTATCTTCCGCAGATTTGCCCGCGCTTTGCGCTAGTTTCTTAAAAGAAATTTTTTTAGTGAAAATCTAAAGAGAGGTACGAGAGTAGAAGAGTTATAGAGAGAGTATAGAGTTACAAAAGTAGAAGAAGTAGAAGAGTTTATTATTCTTTAAAAGTATGCATTTTGAAAAAAATAATTATCAAATCCTTGTTTTATTATTTTTATACCCCAAATGGCAAACAAACATACAGCCTGCCTGATGGTAAACGGTCACTATGGACGCTATTATACATTGATGCAATACTAGGTGCGAGTCACGTGCGCGTTCCCAATCCTGAAGAAACATCCGTCGTCTTTTATTTTTCAAAATCCAATAAAACTTACCTTAATTTTTTACGTTAGTAACCCCAAATAAACTGAAAATTACACCCATATCCTAAAAAAAAGAAAATTATGAACTTCCAACATGTATTTTTCTTCTAAACTCAAATACTACTTAAATTTTGGATTTAGCAACTTCAAAACGAAAACAACATCCATATTGAAAACTTAATATTTTTGATATTCGGAATGTTTTTTTCAATATCCAAAAAACTCCTTGATTATTGAAATTGACAATTTAGGGTTTTCAATTAGATTTGTCGAAAACGACACTCATAAAAACTGATGATTTTCGTCATCTGTCCTAATTTTATTTTAATTCATTATATATACAATATTGAAAACAAACAACTATATTAACAAAAAATTTAAAAAGTGGATAATTTTTGACAGGTGTAATTTAACATTATAACACTCAAAAGGAAATGTTTGTGCCATAGTACTAAGCTTAAAGTATGGTTTCATATATTTATTTGCCTTAACAACTATTAAAGCCATGATTTTCGATTCGTCAAGTACTCATAAAATTATTAAATTAAAAAAAATATAATGTTTTCTTTTTTTTTTTCACTGTTATGTTAAAATCGATTACCCTACTAATTCACATTTCTACAATTGATCAGACTGGTAGTTTTAAAGTTACACCGCCATCTTATATTTTTTCCCAATTTCAGGCCTATATAAAAGTTTTCTACAGAGATGTAAGTGTTGCCAATTAATTTGGATAAAAATTATCTAAAACCATAAAGTGGATGGTATTCGACTAAACCTTATTACTCTTTGATTCAAAATGTAATAAAAAATTATCACTTGTTTGTCTTTCTTAGAAATTACCCTAAAATCGAGGAAAATATTTACCAAGAGTATTACGTATCAAAACCTTCACATAGAAGCCATCTCGCTACAATGTTGCCATGTTACTCAAAAAAGAGTTTAAAAATTTATGTGAATACAGAAGTATCCAACCCGGCCGTCTTCTTAAATTTTTTCTCGGGTTTTTCTCAATCCAATAACCTACATTTAAAACTTCTTGCTGCTGCTTATGAATTCCATTTTTTGAAATGAGACCCTGTGTTGCCAGCTAAATTTGATAAAACCCCTCTAATGTAGGAGTGGTTTTCAACAGAACTACCACTCTGATTACTGATTTTTCTCATGGCCACCCTAGCGTTACGACCATTTTACTACTCTACATTGTTCCCTACATTGCTTCGGCATATCTCGATCTCCATCCGGGTAAACAAGTATGTCAATGAATGATATGAATTGCAGCTTGTATATTATGGATATATAAAGTATTAAATACTTTTGTAGATAAACTAGATGTCAACCGGGTATACACATAAATCTAGGTAGGTAGGTACATATATATATATATATATATATATATATATATATATATATATATATATATATATATATATATATATATATATACTATGTATAAGCATTTCTATTCATCTATTAGGCGTTTCACTTCACCTTCTTAAAGTTTATATTGCTTCCTTCCTTTATTTTTATCGACCGCTTTAGCGATTCGAATTACCCCATTTTTTTTACAAAATTTTATATTGTACCGATTATAAATAAATATATTATAAATAATTAGAATCTACTCTTTATATATTCAAGAGTACAATTATATTACGCTGCTATTTCATACAAAATTAATTTGTTTACAGGACTGGTCGAGACCTGACAGTGATGATATGACAGCATCAACACCGGTAGAGAGCATCCTTTTCCCTGAATCATAGGACATGTCACTATTGCACCCAGTAGTCACTGGTGATACTCTAGTGTAGTGCATCATGACAGATAACATGTGTCAGCGAGATATTTGACAATTCTGAAATTTATGGATTAAGTATAAGAAGCTCAAAAGTGGAGATTACAGCGTAAATACAAAATTAAGAGTCAATTAAAATTTATATTTCGAGGTGTCACTAATACGTGCAAGCGGAATATAAGACAACGCATCGTAATTTATTACTTCGATTTACTAGTCGGATCGGAGTGTAAGCAGGACAGAAGACAAGCCAAAAGTCTCTATCGGCTTAATTTTGTGTTCCCGATGCAATCTCTGTTTGGTTATAAATTTCTTAAATAGTACTCATTGTAATATTTTAATAAGAAAATGACTATTTAAAATTAATATTGTTTAAAATGACCATATCATCATGAATAAAAAAAAATTGTTTAACATTAACAAATGTGATCACTATGTTAGTTATACGTGTGTATTAAGCTTTATACTTTAATACAATTTTAAAAATTGTATTCAAATTTGTATTATAATGAATAGCACAATTTTATTTTAAATTTAATTACCAATTGAATAACAGCATCGACTAATAATTATGTCTCCAATTGTATAGTGCTCAACCGGATAAACTACATCTACAATTATTTTATCATAGATAAATGTGTTGTAAATTTTCAATATATTTGTGTAGCATTCCAATTCCCTTTGGGGAACTAGTGAGGGGGTGGAGAGGGGTTTTTTTTTATAACAGCCGTGGGAATGGGTTCGTATAATGTTGGTTTATTATTGTATAACAGTTAATTTTTGGTACAAAAGTTATTCCAGTAACAGTATTCAAGTTGATCTTGATAGATTACAATTTTGTATGAAACTAGATGATGTACGTCTATTTTTATAAATACATAAGTTTCTAATGTTATGTATTTTCTTATTGAACATTTGTTGAATGATTTTATAAGTATTTACACGTTATATATATTAATAGTGAAATGTATGAGGTATAAAATGAATGCGGCAATGTTATCGATGAAGATTGTTTACATGACAATGACCGGAGAACCAGTGTCAAAGTATATTCCCTTATTATAAAACTGTAACTGGTATTTTGCATTGTATTCGCGTCTACTGATTTTAATATGTTCAATGTAGTATTATTCATATTATTTTTGTAGTAGTTGACCTTGTTACGCGGTTTCAAATGATAATGTCATACATTATTATACCTATTCATATAATTTTCTGATTCGGTCGAGGTTTGAAAGATATAGTCGGATGGAATCCGAAGCGCCATTTCTGAAAACCTATCTCTAAAACAAATATTTGAATTTCAGAATTTTGTGAAATTACTATTTTATGAATTATCATAAACTAAATTTATATTTTTAACTTTATTAGAAATTTAGTTAATATTCCCTAGATCTCTATAGTAAAAATTTCGCTATGATGTGAAATTGAAATTTTAATTTTAGACAGAGGTTAATAGAAAAGGCGCCTTAGAATCGATCCCAGTGTCTATGATAGCCGAACCTAAAATACGACATTCATCCAGTATTAGAAAAAGTACCATTAAATAATATGTCATTGGCTAATAATGATATATATTTACTTGGACAAATTAGAATGTGATCACGGTGCTTTAGAAATGATAATAAAAGTTATATTAAGATGATTGAGCCAAAATGTAAATATGTAAGCGGCCAAAGATTTTGAACTATATATTTTTTCTATTTGCTTGGCTTTGGTTATTGAAATTCAAATGGGTACATAATTTAAGTTTAAAAATTTTATCCTTGGATTGTATTTTAAATAAATTGTGGTAAATTCTCTAATTGTGGTGATCTCTCGTAACGCCGTATTGGTGCAGTTTTATTTAAGTATTACGATTTAATAGCACAAAAATATTAAAGTGTCAATATCATTTATTGAAACTAATATTACTTTTATATGTGTGTACTAGGTACATTTCCTTGAGCATGGTTATTACAAAGGTGTGTATTTTTAAATTATTAACATGTGTATCTCTGTGTTTACTCTCTGTGTCTACTCAATATATTTATACGTATGTAGTATCTTGATTTTATGTTTATCAAATAATTTTTAATAACTAGATACTCGTATTAATTTTATGGTTATTATTAGATTATTCGCTAAAGAAAATAGACAAAATTGTAATAACATCAGAATACACTGGAGTCTTTTTTTTAGTATGCATTGTTTTATATGTGGACTAGCGGTGGTGGCTATATGGTATATTTTCGATTTGTAATCGATTTTATTATACAACCGAAGAATTTGCTTTTGCAACACTTATAATCTAAGACTGTAATATCTACATTACTTTATTGTATTTCTTAGTTTTTAAATAAATATGGAATTAACTTTATATGAAAATTCATTATGAATTAAACTATTTTTTTAATGTTGGAGTACTGTACCAGGAAAGTATGCACATTATTCAATGTTCAGTAATTACGCGCCAAAATTGAAACTTAATGGACAAAAATAAAGAAAAAGTTTTAATTCCAATTTCGAAACCCATCAAAAACATAAATAGTAAAAAAATTCCAAGTTTCGCAACGAAGTTCTTCCGTTTTAAAAACTTGTGAAATTTCATGTAAAACCGAGTCAGTTATTTATTTTATTGTAAATTATTATTTAAAATTGTTGTTCAATATTTATATGGAAGCACCTATCGGAAAATGCACGGCAACATGTTCTACTAATAAAACACTTTTTTAGTAAACGAACGCGTAGATTTTGTATTAGATTATGCTTTTATGTAATAATTATAGTGTGAGACTTGGCATTATTTTACATTTTATGTTTTTCATGGCATCTCATTTCTTTGTATATGTAATCCTCCTTTTTCTTTTTGGGTAATATATCTCGTCCATCAGCTAAAAGCGCGACGCGTCATTTAAATAAAATAAAGTAATTTTTAATAATCATTATTTTTCAGTCAATGAAAATTAATAATGAAATTTTCATTTTTTTCCTTCTTTATAGGCTAAACACTAACTAAAATTCAAAATTGGAAGTTTGTGAGATTGTTAGAATACCTTAGATTTTTGTTGATCAATCCTGAGTGTGTCAATGACAAAATTAAAGAATTTTAACTAATGAATGTCTAAAAGAGATTGCTTAGCGATAAGGCCGCCTTTTGTATCATTTCTCATTATAATTAAATGTATTTACTATTTTATAAATGATGCAATAAAGTGTAAAGTAAATAAATAATTCGTAAACTATAAAGTAATTATTAGGTATTTCGACAATATAGCTAGTTATATTCTCTTGATCACTAAAAATCCAAAGTTCTACAATGAAGTTACAGGATGGTCGAAATTGCTGTGAGTCGCTTCGAGAAAAGGATAATAAGTGCCCCCTAATTAAATGATTAAACACGCGAGTTTGTATTCCTTATGTACAATTTAGTTGAGTGTTTATATTTCATTGCTGATGTGTATATAGGAGGAAATGCTTAATGTTTGTAGATAAATTAATGCACATTTTCTTGCCGGATAATAAATTTTAATAAGTTATAATAAATTAATAATAATACATACATACGGCACCTATGTATATATACATATATCATCCATGTATATCTCGGGAAAAATTACGATTCGTACCTTATGTGATTGCTTTGCCTTCGTCACGTATACCAAACGTCACGCTTGTTGTTGGTAATCGGTCACTTTCTTTTTTCAGACGATGTGTTCGTACTAAATTCATTAGTAAATGTATTGTATTTTTTAAATGTAAGAACATCCTGATTAACTTACGTGTATTTTAGTCGAGAGAACTAACCGAGCATTATAGATTGAAATACATGTAAATTAATTCACTTGTTCTTATATTAAAGTATAATGTGTACTTATGAACTTTTGACAATAAAAAAATATTGTAGGATAATTTCATTTGCTCTGGTTCATGTGTCCAATTCTGATTATTATGGTTCAGAATTTTTCTTTTGTGTTATATATACCTCATGACATGTGAAATTGTAATATATAAATTACAAATAGCTTTGATCAACGATTACTGTAATTTTTTTTTATTATCAGTTATTGAACCACCAGATAAATATTTACTGTCTCATATCAGTCATTGAAGTACGAGACAAATATTTTTTTTTATCTTTACATTAATTAATACTTTATTTATATAATTACCGCATGCTATATCAGTGGCGTAACTACCATTTGGGCCCTGTGGTAAATTCCCACACTGATGGGGTCCTATCAGTAAAAATAAAATACTCAGGTACAATGTAAAAAAAATCTGAACTCGCGGCCTCTTGAGCCGGGGCCCTTTTGGGTCGGGGGCCCGTGGCATTTTGCCAGCCCTGCCACCCTAATGTTATGCCATTGTACTATATACACTTTCCACCCCCCAATATTTTTTTAAACAAAGATTCGATGGTTTTCCAGGAGGAAAATTGTCGCCACTTATAGACATGACCCATAAAGTTACTCAAGGACACAGTTTTTGTATAAAATATCTTTCTGGTAATTATGTGATTGACTGGGATGAAAAGTAGTCTATGGCCTTCTCCATCTCAAATATTAGGTATGGATACTATATTACTTACAACACAATTGGTAGATCTTTTTAGTCACCAAGAGGTAAGAAATAATTTCGACATTGCAAAATGAGGTTCACGGAGTTATTTATGTGCCCTAACAACAGTTATTTAATTATATTCAATTTACTATTTATGTTGTGACTTCTTGTTTTTTTTTTGTTACTATGTTGAATAGACGTTTCATATATTCGCATATAATATTATAAAAAATACTTATCGAGTAGTTACATTTTCCATTGTTTTTATTATAAACTAATAAAAACATTAAAGAGGTAGTGGAACAAAATACAAGTACATATTTTACATAATATAAAATCGATAGTTACTTTTAAAATAAGTACTAAAAGATTAAATCGCACAGCCCTAATATATTTTAATTGCAATCGATCGACTGCATAATACCGAATTCTTTTTTTGGTAAAGTATATTTTGTATATCGAATTTTTTCCATAACACCCATACCCATATAGGTATGCATATCAGCATGCTACACAAAAAGTGTTACTTATGTTTATATATATATATATATATATATATATATATATATATATATATATATATATATATATATATATATATATATATATATATATATATATATATATATATATATATATATATATATATATATATATATATATATATATATATATATATATATATATATATATATATATATATATATATATATATATATATATATAGATCTTAAGTAAATAAAAAATATAGGAAAGATGCTTATATTAGCAATATTATAATCATTCCAAAATATTATTAATAATGACTAATTTACCAACTAATGTATTTTCTTATTGGTGAATATTGGTGAATTATAATTTTTAGCAGTATTCTTGTGTGATTTATTTGTTTAAAAATACAAAGTAGTTCTATTAAAACGTTATATATTTTTTTATTATAGCTATTTTATTTTCATATGAGGTGTAATACTAATTGTAACAGCAAAGAACATTAAATGTACTAATATAGCATTCTACGCATTTGTATGTAAGAATCTCCTATTTTATAATCCAGTGCTTACTTAAGGTTTAATTCAGCAATGAAGTCAATTCTGACACATATTTCTCTAAACTTTAAAATCTAATTTTAGACATAGAGAAATGACGAATCACGGTACAACGAGGACTTTTGACAATTTGAACGATGCTCCCTAAAGTAGTCCCTAAAAGCATTAGTGAATTTTAGATATACAAGTTAATCGGCTCCATTGTTTTTTAATGAAACAAATCGTAATTTAATATTCTTATTTATTTATATTATATATTGGGTACTCTTCATGATTATATATTTTCTCGCTTTTGGTATCATTCTATTATTCTCTTGTCTTTGAGCTAAGCTATCAGGTTCATATGCCCTATGAATCCAGAAAGGAATCCCATTGTTTATAGTTTTGACAAATTTATTGTTTTGAACTTAATAATTCTCACCAATACAAAGTAGTAATTACTAATCTGTTTTATTATGAACAAAATAAAGTTTTGTCTAATATAATTAAAAACGCATTAGAACGATTTATGGTATCTTATTCACATATTTTTATGTGTATTGTTAGTTACATTGTGTCCTGAGTTAGCGTTTTTGTTAATATATGTAATGTAATTATAATGTTTTAACAGTTATTTTTAAAAAGTGTTTACACTATAGTGATGATTAATTATAATTCCTCTCTTTTAATGAAAAGATTATAAGATTTCACCGATTTTATTTCCATAAATGCGAAGTCAAGTTTCAATTAAAATATTATAAAAAAGTGTTTTTGTTTTTTGTGTGTGGATTTGATATTTTCAATGATGTTTAACATCGCTAAAGAGTTTGTTAAAAATTTTCAAATTCCAATAAATCAGCGCAAACCATAATTGAACATCCGATATGAGTTAGAATAATGAACACTGAACCACGATGCTCTCTTAAATTGAAATAACATTATAAATAATACTTATAAATAAAAGTCTGATTTTTGTTATAATATTTTCAGTTAGTGCAACATTGTGCGTTGATTCTTTCATTATCTAAGTATGATAATTTGATCATGACTGTAAAAGCTGTTTATTAGTTAATTTCTAAGAAAAAATATTCATGTTTATAATATATGATCATAAGTAATAATATTTTCATTATTCATTAGAATGTATAAACTATGTATTTTTATATAGCAAATAAATTTTGTATAGAATTATAGTAGTATTATTCAGTATTGGAAAGTAAACCGGGAGTGTGTTATTACATAAATTAAATAAAGTGTGAAAAAAGTGTATGCTGTATTGGTAATAACATGGTGTTGTAGTTACAATAAATTATGCATCAGTTTTGCAAATTCTCTTATAAGGCATGTTTTACATGCAAAACTTTTTTAACTTAGCTCTGATTCATACAATTTGTAATATAGTTTGTGTAATTACAATATTACGATCGGTATGTATATACGGTTATTTCACGAATAGGAAAACATTGATAATTTTTTTGGTTTTTAATTGCACCTACCTAAGCGTCGTTTTAAAGATTCAATATGCTTTTTGCTTGAGTATTTACGGATCAATGTACATAGGCAATATAGGATACAAAAAAAAAAACTATAAAAATTTAAGGGTTTTTTAATTAAGCCAGCAACCTGTCCTTTGCAAGTTGATTTTAACAAATTTTGAGTTACATAGATTGACATTGATGGGTGGGTTAGGCGGATATGCAACTATAAGAAATAAAAAGTAGATCTATTTTTTGTAATAGAACAAAGTCTTCGTATTTATTTATTTTGAAAATAAAAATTTAATAATTTCATTGTATTATTTCTGACATTTAAACGTCGAGTGTGCAATAGGTTTAAGGTTTGAGTAAATTACAGTTTTTGAGCGAAAGGGAACGCTCAAAATTCGGCGCCAATCTTGACACTGCGCTCCGTCTCGTCATAATTACCGTGTGTGAACGACCCTGCCTGACTAATATTTGTTTTCGCCCCGCAGTGGTGTTTTTGTCAGAGGAAGACGCACTTATCGAGTAACGAGTTGCGCTTGATGTATAATTATGAGGGATTTTTA